GTTGGAGAGTCGGACCTACACAGTTTTTGTTCATACACAGTTTTAAGTGGGTCAAAATAAAAATTGACAATTTGTGCAGCACTGCAACCTAGATATTTGGACCAGAAGTCACCGCGTCAAGGGTTGGGGGACCATAAGGAGTTAACTATAGGTCGTTAAATAATTAGAAGTTCGGCCAGTGTTAATGCACAGACCTTACAGGTGGATATATGGTCCGGACGTCCACAAAACCACACCCCCTCTCACCTCTCTAAAATACACTAACTTACTATAATAATATTAGCCTGCATAGACAAACATATTCATTTTTTTTAAATCTGTGAAACCAATTATGAGTAATTTTCTATGATACTTAATCTAATTTCAAAAAAAATTATTTTCATTATAACTTTAATATTGTCTTATTTATTATTGTATATAGGTACGCTTAGGTTTATTCCGATCTTCGAAAAACATTTTTCCTTTTGAGTGAATTTATTTTAATTATTTTCTGAATCTAATCTATTTAATACGAAGTATATTATGTCACTTTCAATATTAAAATACACATGGCAGTAATTTCATTCCTAATAATATCCAAGTTTTCATTCAATTCATTACGGAAAATTAGAGTTCTTAGCATGCAGATCATAGGGTCGGAGGTAATACAATTTGAATAAGTCTATATACATTTGGGAACACACTTTCATATTAATCTACTTAAGTCAAATTTGGAATCAAAAAATATATATAATATAATTATAGAACCATAATCAGAATATTCATTTTTTTCGTGACAAATAAAATAAATTTTTCTTGTCGGTGTTAACATGTGGGAAAAAAGTGTGTCGAAAAAAATAATCTTCAACCAGTGTGTTATTTTTGAGTACATTAAGATAGGAATTAACCTACATACAAATACACACACACATACACACACAAATGTAATCTTCTAATACAGTAAGTTCATCGCACTATACTGATCTCTATACACAATAGTATTATAGTAAACTGATATTATAGTTTAATATTAGGTATAGTAAAACATAAATAATACATAATATAATTTCGTAACTGTATTTTTCAGCTTATCGCCATTCAATTTGTACAATATTATTATATGTACCTATAAAGCCTGTATATAGTCTTATTCTCCTATCCTATCATTATTCTATACCTACTATTGATTTCATAAATCAAAGCAGGTTTAACGAAATACGAATTCAATTATTAAAGTTTAATTTACAAAAGTCAACAACATCGCTTTTACTAATTTAGATTCTTAACGGCATGATAAGTGGTTATAAAAAAAAAAAAAAAATAAAATATGTTGTGCAAAGACACTTATTATACAATAATAAATATTGCTAACAATACAATAAAATTCTTACATTTTCAACTTCAAGGGAAGTTTATGGTAGAAAAATGGATTTAATTTGTACTTTAAGATCAATAGTAGACACTTTCCAGTGCTTTATAATAATACGATATAATAAACGGGGTCCGGGGAAATCAAATGAAAACAATAAATTACGAATAACGGAAGTATTTGCGCAAAACCTTCAGTTTTTGACAAAATCTATTTTGTTTTATTGTTGTGATTCAAATTCAAAATAAATACCAATCTATAGATAGGTACTCCATAGAGACTTGAAATTTTCACCAATTATTTGTATTAGCATTTTCTGTACAAAATATGTTATGGCTTTTGATCTACCAATTATGTATCTTCAATCGATTTTTGATATTTTATTATAATTCAAAAACGAATAACCTTAGATACTTGACATTTTGACCAAATTATTATTTTTAATTTTCTGTAAAATGTTCATGATAATATTTACCAAATAGTTTACTATCCAATTACTTATAGACTCATTTTATGACTATTTTAAATTAATTTTTTTTTGTTTTTTTTTCTATAATCAATAGAAATAAGGTGGGTAAGTGGATGTCGCTTGCGGGCGATTGTAAGCTCGGCCCTAGGAAAAAAATGTTCAAAAAGTTTATTGTAAGCTCTGCCAGTGTTTTTTTTAGGTAAAATAGATTGACGTGTAAGCTCGGCCTGAATAAAAATGTACAAATAATATTTTTAAGAACCATTTAGCATTACCAAGAGGACACAATGAGAATGTGATTCTCATGTTAACCAAAAATTATTTTCATTTTCATATTATTATTCATAGTATGAAATTAGTTATATAAATGTAAAATTGTGTAAAAATGTAAGTAATATGTTTCAGTATTAAGAAATATAAATAAAATTTATTTTCAGATAAATTATGCCGTGCTTATTATATTTTCTTGGTCAAAATTATCTTACCAAGTTTACAACCGACCTTTTTTTACTATCTTAAATTTCCGGACTGAGCTTACAACAAAAAAATGTAGCCACGGGCCCAGTTAACATTTACCCGCTCTGCTGTACAGTATGTTACAAGTGGGTCACTATATAATGGATGGTATTAAATTATTTTAATTTTAATTCAATATGTGATATAATATATCATTGTATACGAAAAACGATTCTGAGCAGTGACGGTTTGTCAGTGTGGATATATTTTAAATTATATTTATATTGTTATTACTTAGGTATTACTTATTATTAATACGGTAGCGGTAATAGGTTGAACTAATATTATAAAATTACAACAAAATAACTAAAATCGTTACTCTTGGTTATTTAATGTGTAATTTTCTCCAAATTTGAACTTAAAATAACTATAAAAAAATGCGTTTTTATATTTTTAGAATTTTTAGGTTAAAGAATAACCTACGAAACCTTGTTGTAAGTTTTCAATCCTATACCTATAAAAGTTAAACATTTTCTACATTTTTAATTACAAAGTCATTTTTAAATTTTAAATTTGATAAATGTTGTCAAAAATTGAACTTTAAATGATTATAAAAAAAAAAAATTGTGCCTATGTATTTTTAATATTTTTAAACTGCTTTTTTACGCTTTTTGACCCAACAAATAAAACTTTATTGATATTTATAGAAAAAAAAAACTAAAAAAATTGAAATTTGAAATTGAACAGCTCAAAACAATAGCAGTACGAAATATATAATATCTTAAATTTTAAAACATACATAGATACTAAATATTTATAGCCATTATAGGTATATTATATTTATATAGCATTATAGGTTGATAGAGTCTATAAGTCTTCGCTCTGAGGCTTTTCACAAGAATTATTTTTCATATTTTGCAATGATTTATTACAATATAATTATTTGTATTGCAAATATATTACACTGGCTTACTCCTCAACGATGAGGTAAACTCGACGCCTACAACTGTACAGGAAAACGGATATCCGAATTCTAGATAGCGCCTGCAAGAACAGCAGATGAATATTATAATGTCTCACATCATGCTTCCTATATAAATTATAAACTTTAAATTTTTAAAGCTAGTATTGCTATAAAATAAATACATAGGTATCGTATCTATCCTTTTTTTGTATTAATTTAATTATAATAATAATTATTATATTATTATATTTGAACGTTCGAAAGAAATTGGTAATTCAACTTTTAAAACGGTTACCCATGCCTATACATTTGTTCTTAATAAATTATTACTATCTCACATAATTATTTTGTACACCTAATACCTACTTTAATATACATTTATAAAAAACACGTAAACAACAATATATTATTTCAACAGAAATGTGACAGTTTTGATGTAGATACGAAGAGCCGGGGTCCTTAACCCACAGGATTCTATATATTATAACGAGCTTACCTAAAATAATATTTATGTGTTGCAACATTTTTGGAGTGCCTGGCTGAGTATTTAACCTTATACTGGGCTTATAATATGGGCGCGGTAATATTAATCGCCTGTTGTATACTTTTTTATTGTAAAGTTGACAAAGGATTATATAGCTTATGCATCATATTATATACAGTCAGGTGTCCGTAACTAAGAAAGTTCGAGTGATTAATGAGAAAAAACATTCATTTCAGGAATAAGTCGAAATTATAGAAGTTGACAGTAATTTGTGAGCTCTTTCACACAATGAAAAAAAAACTATGAATAAGACACTTTTACATACCTACCGCGGTAATTGAATTAAAAGTACAATGCTAAAGTTTTGTACAAAATCAAGATATTATAATAATTGTTTACAAATACTAAATAAACAGCTATGAACGCACAATTTAAAATAACAAACCGAAAATAATACATACAATTAAATAAAAATATGTCATAATAAGTAGGTAGGTAAAATTATTAAATGTAAATTTACAGTAAAAATATTAAAATGTAGGTATACCTATAATGACGCTTTAGGAGAATATATAGTATTAATGACTTTTAATACCTACCTAAAGAGAAAATGGTGAGTATATATTATGAACGATCGTTTAACAAATATTATTATATAATATATAACTATACAATTTTGGGCCCCGGCCTGACAAGGGCAGGGCCAAGATGTGATCGTTTTAAAATGTTCAAGTTACCGGGTTTCGGGTCACCGAGAACCCACTGTATACATAGGTACATATTACATTAGATTACGCATATAATATACCACCGCACACGTCAAATTCGTTTTATCTTTGACGGAAGGCGTGCGCTATATATATATTATTTATATCTATACTACGAAAATCTCATATCATAACATAAATACGTACTTATCGAACAGAAGTCGCTTTACTCGTCACACTCCGCTCGATATTGTATATATAACATAATATTATTAGGTGTAGTTTTGATCCATTCGTAAAATCGCTATGTCGTAGACGCATCGTCGTATACGGCATCGCTTATCCAGAGTCCTGAGAATAACGTCGTCATAGATACATTATTATACTCGACCGTATTTCTACTTTTATCGATATATTAAAAATTTAAAAACAATTACAGTCCGATAGTATAATTATTTAACATTTAATTATTATTACTGTACAATAATATACAATAACCGCCTTAAAGCCTCAGACGTCGGTGTTGGCTCGATCGACTCGTCCGGCTATACAGCGACACCGGCCAAACGACCATGACGTCCTCCAAATGTTTTTCGGGCTGCACCATCGTCCGGTACGGTGCACGCATCATATCCATATTGGACTTTGTAAGTATATCTGTAGGTATTTACCTATTATATATTATAAGCTGCGTGTAAACGGTTTAAAACTTTCGTCCGTTTACTATTATTTCGTTTTAAATTATTTTTCATATTATTCCAAACGATTTTCTATACTTTCAGTTTAGACATGTCTATATATAGTATAGTTGGTATATAGTGAAATATTATTGATTCTTGTCATGCCAAGTGTGAACGTAGTGGTACACTGTACCTATAGGTAAACGCCCAAATCATAATATATTAATATTTGCTTTCGATCGGGGGGCCAAAAGATTATGTGTGATTATATGAATACACAATTATTTTGCTAAAAGCAATCAGCTGTAATCTATAATATTAATACAATAATAGGTATTTACATTTTACTTCTAACTCGTTTGAATCGTTTCTATACAGTGATGAAATCTAAAATATTAATGTAGATATACCTAATCACTTCAACAGATATTATTATTAAAACATATAATATTGTATGTAAGTATAAAATGTATTTATGTGATTATTATGTACTAGAAAAAATTCTGGGAGGTTGAACCCCCAAAACCCCCCTGTAATACAGGGCCTGTATACGTGCCTGTTGTGTATATATATTGTATTTTTTTGGTTAAAATATATATATATATATACACACTCGTGTTTAGTAATTATTTTATTTGTTCGCAAACTTGGTACAAAAGTTGAAAAGTGTCCTTCGAGTTCTAATCGAACTCAAACCAATTGAAAGTTGGAAGCTTTAATCATCGGGAAATATTGGATAACCGGTTACCTATTAGTAGGCTACCTGCTGTAGGTAAATTATGAATAATAATACTTAATACTTTTTAGTTTTATTTCTTAAAATAGTTATAGCTAGTAACGTTTATTTATTATCATACTATAATTGGTTATAATATACAAGTAGCCAGTAGGTACCTACCTAACTACATATATATTATATTATAATATTACAATAGTGAATTTTTGATTTATGTTATGACTAGTTGATCCCGTGCACTTCGTTTCCCATTAAATGTACCAACTCTATATGACTCAAACTTTGTTTAATTCGTTATTTAATATTCGGTGTATGGTGTTCAAAATTTATCTTACCTCTTCTGTTGCCTGGGATAAAAATTCTGATTCGCATTAGTACCTATATTATCAGGTAGGCAATCCTACGGTATATCGCGGACTCCATGCTGTTTGTACGTAACTTTATAATTTAACTCTTAAGTATAAAAGTTATACCAAGTATGTCACTGAACTCCTCCTAAACGGCTGGACTAATTGTGAATGCCGAGTCTGTCCACCAATATTTCCTCCTCGTCCATGAATACGTTGCATTGTTTTATGTACGTAGGTAACTTATATGTAAGTTTAATAATACGCTCAATATTTACGTAATTGCGATACATATTATAGTCTCAAAACACAGCGTACAAAAAAATTAAATGAATTGAATGAATACACTGATTTCACGGCAACCAATAATTATTACTATAATAGCTTTAAGACTCATAGCGACAGTTTACAAACAAAAATGTCCACCTTAAATATCTAAATCCTCGTTTGAGCACATACCTTGGTTGGACCTAAGGGGGTGATTTGTAACCTATGTGTTATTCGAATGTATAAGCTAAATTATTGTAAAGTTTCATTAAAATCCATTCAGTAGTTTTTACGTGAAAGAGTAACAAACAAACTTTCGCGTTTATAATATTAGTAGGATATGCAAATTCTTCAAACACATATAATACAATACTATATTATAAATTCAACAGTATTTTCTTTTTCTAAGATTTGTAGAATATTTAACGACACATATATAGAGTATGGCTACTCTTAGCCATCCGCATGGAAAATTATTAATTAATTTTGAATGATCGATTTTATATTTTACAATAGTTAATAGCGCGTTTGGGTATATAATTGTTATAAAAAGTTGTGTATAGACATTTTAATCTGTTTGTTAATTTCCTAAAACAAATTAGGTTCGCTTAAAAGTTGATTTAATTTCCCTTTTAGCATAATATGACCGAATACATGAACGTGAATGAAATATAAATATATCGTACGCAAGCACTTTTAGGTAAGTACTAAGTAGGTACCCACATTACAATGTAGGTGGGTACATAATATCATGATATTAGGTATAATTTTCTGTGCCTTATTTATTAAAAATCACTGAAATAACTGAACAACACGAGAAGTTGGATTTATTTATTCTCCGCAGCGCAAGTAGAAATCGTGAACAAAAGAACATTGATTTATTTAGTTTTGAAAAGCCATGAACACTGTTTCTTATAGTCTAATAATTTTCCGTATAGAATACCAAAATTAATAAAACATATTTTTTAACTATCTAAATATTTACCCATCGTGGCATCGTAATATTACGTAATATTGAGTGTAGCTCTTCTGCAGCACACACGACGAATCACATCATAAAAATAATATGAGGATAGTAATCGTGTTCGTAGAATTAGAATGAGACATATTTTAATTACATATTCTAGGAATTGTTTTACATTTTAAAGACGTAGGTATGAACGAAAGTGTGATAATAAAAAGTCAAAGAATATATTATATTTGATAGTCAGATATCACGCATACCTATAACTATTAATGAAACAGTTTCCGTGAATAACGAATAGTTAGGTAACGTACTTTAAGTCTTTAACATAAAACAATATTTATTTACCTAATACCAATTTATTTAGAGGATTTTAATTAATATAATAATATTATGATACATTAAGCGAAAAATTATTATTAATAGGATTCTGAAATTTCATTAAATTTATTTTAAATTTTCGTCGCGCGTGTTTTTTAAATTTATTTTTGATTTATATTAATTATTAAATTTTATTTGTGAGTTATGGTGAGTGATCACTGTGCCAAATGTCTACTTTCGTCACGAATCAAAATTATATAATTTACTGAGGTCTGAACTCTGAGAACCTACCTCAGTGGCTAGTGCTATTAATTATTATATTATTATACAGCCGGTAGATTCAAAACCTGACGTTCAAGACGTCATGCACTCATCATGCCCACTCAATACTGCCAGGCATGTGTAATATAATAAAATATTATTATTTCGACTGATAAAAAAAACGTCAGTAAAAGTGTAAATAACATAAAATATAATATAGCAATACAGATATAGCTAGGGTAGATATACGTTTTTATTTTTTATCACTAGGTACCTACATTTATAATTTTACAAGTCTACGTAATATATATATGTATATATATTCTATAACTAATTAATATTATATAGGTAGTGCCTGTTGCACTCGTATTATTATCGATGAGAACATTATTGCATACCCAATAGCCAAGGTAAAAATATTACATCGATATCATAAAGTGGAGTTCCATTCAAAACAACACGCCGTGTAATCATGAGTAACAATACCTATTTTATAATCATGCTGTATACGGATTAAACAATAATCGTACATAAGCTTAACTAGGTAAGCTAAAGGTCCTATAGGTACTAGGTAGCTTAACTACATATTATTCAAAACGATATCATTTCCGTATTGTATGTCAAATATTTTTGTCGAATATAAAATTACATTCGTTTAAGGTCCTTCACATCTTTCACTAAGTTGTATCAATATAAATTATAATATAATAACATATTTTTAATTAAATATCATATACATATTTATTTATATTATATTTATATATTTAACAATATTACTGTTAAGAGGACGCCACACTCACATACAGGGCTTGCATTTGATAAAAAAAATTCCGTTTTATGTTATTTACAATTAAAACGTTACACAATTTTTGAGTTTATCGTTATTTAGAACTAAAACGTTATAGAAGGTTTGCGTTTATCGTTATTTAAAATAGTGTTAATACCTTTTAAATTTAAAAAGGTGGGCAAGTGGGTGTCGCTCTGCTGTACAGTAGGTTACAAGTGGGTCACTGTATAATGGATGATATTAAATTTGAATTCAACGATATAATATCATTGAATAAGAAAAACGATTCTGAGCGGAGACGGTATGTCAGTCTATGTATAAGACATATTATATACATATCTATGGTATTAAACAAAAAATTGACCTATAATAGGTACCTATAATAAATTCCAAATTAATCATATCACAATATCCATTAGGTACTTATAACGCGTTATACATCAACAAAAACCGTGATACTATCATAGATATATAATAGTACACTTTAGAATTTCAAGTACCCACGAATAATATTATTCAATCACAACAAAATAACTATAATAGTTATTCTAGGTTTTTTTAATATGTAATTTCGTCCAAATTTAAATTTAAAATGTCTATAAAAAATAACTGTGTTCATATATTTTTTAGATTTTTTGGTTACAGTATGAACTATTTATGAGAACCTTTGTTTAAAATTTGCAATCCTTAGCTATAAAAACTGAACATTTTATAATTTATTAATTACAATGATTGATAATTTTCGAGATTTTGATAAATTTTGTCAAAATTTGATCTTTAAATGCTTATAAAAAAAAACTGTGCCTATGTATTTTTAATATTTTTCAACTGCTATTGTAACAATATATCAGGAGCCTTGTATTAAATTTTTCCACTTTTTGGCCCAACAGATAAAACTTTATTGATATTTATAGAAAAAAAAACTAAAAAAAATTGAAAGCTGTAAATGTCCATAAACAGCTCAAAAAGAGTCAAAATATTTTCAAAATTGTATGGTGTATAGGAAATGCCAATATAAACATTCAGTGAAATTTTCATGTATCTACAGTTATTTGTTTTTGAATTACAACAAAATAAGGAAATCGCTACATGGGAAATCGAGTGAATATTCAATGTTGTAAAAATTTGAATTTCAAACGGTCATAAAAATTTAATTTGACTTTCTTATAGACATTTTTTTTTGATAAAGGTAGATAATCTTATAAGGAATCTTGTGTTTAATTTTCAAATCTTAGATTTAAAAAGAAAAATTTTTACGAATTCTTAACTCAAAATAATTTGCTAATTTTCCTGATTTTTCCATATTTTGTCAATTTTTGAACTTTAAATGCTTCTAAAAAAAAATTGTGACTAAGGATTTTTAATATTTTTCATCTGCCTTTGAAACAATATATTAGGAGCCTTCTATTAAATTTTCAAGCTTTCGCAACCAACAAATAAAATTTTATTGCTATTTTTAGAAAAAAAACTAAAAAAAAATGGAAAATGAAAATGTCCCTAAACAGTTCAAAATAAATCCAAATATTTTGAAAATGTTATCGTGTATAGAAAATGCAAATATAAACAACCAGTGAAAATTTCATGTATATACGTTCATTTGTTATAGAGTTACACCAAAAACCAAAATCGATTTTTTGGAAAACCAATTTTGCGTAAAAATTCCCGTTTTTTCCTTAATTTTTATGTTGTTTTTCTCGGGCGCTTGTGAAAACTACTGTGAAATTTTTACTTTTGACCCCCCAAAGTACCAACTAGATTCACTTTCCTATCAGAAAAGCTACTGATGAAGAAAATCCAAGCACTTTTACTGTCCTAAAACGTGATGACAGACACAAAAAAAAAAATAAAAATAAAAAAAAAATAAAAATAAAAAAAAAACACACATCATTGTAAAATCAATACATTCATCGTTTCACTCAGAATCTAAAATAATAACTAATGCGGGTAGATAATGGCCCGGATACGGAATATGATATAGGTAATCAATTCTTAGATTGATTGCATGAAATAAATGTTTTTGCGAAACCAATAGACCTTTTAAATAAATCGATTTTAAAATATTTCGTTTTGTGCTATTTTTCGTTCATGATATTCTATAAATTAAGTTTTAGTTATGTTTTGTTTTGCTATATTTAATTTTTTTTGATTATCGCTATCCGTTATGATTACGTTTACAGATTTCCATCGTTTTTTTGCCAAATAATCATAACTTTATTATAACGTTTGCAAGCTCTGCTCGCATATATTGTCTCCGTCTTACAAGTGCGTAACATAGCAAATTGTACGCTCAGCAGACCACATGTAGTTCCGTTATTTTAAAAATTAGAGAGAATTGACCTATTATTAAATTTAGAAGTAGGTATGTACATGATCTAGTCAACCTCATAGGCTTTTTATTATATTTTAATTTTAAAGCGAGTTATGAGTATTTTAAAATGGTAAATTGTTTGTGCATCTTAAAATACTCATAACTCGCTGTAAATTTTGATGGGAGGGGGGGTGGGATCAAGTATTTGCCGACTGAAATATAATTTATGCCAACAGTAGTAAAAATGTCGACCAGTAATTTCTTAAAACAAACCATGTGAAGTACTCAAGTACCTATAAAAATTCCTGGTTTTTCTGTATAATATAGGTAAAGTAATAACTTTACTTTTTTAAAAATAATTAAAATTTGATAAATATTGTACTACCAAAAAACATTAAAAAAAAAATTTTTAAAAACATTTTGAATAGTTCTATGCATATAGTCTGTTATATTACTGTTACTTGTATATCATACAGCCGCTAGCGGTACAGGTACAGGATTGTCTAGATTATTTAAACTTTAAAAATTGTGTATTATTAAATCAATATATGATAAGGGTCACATCCTATAGGAACCAAAATCTAAAATAGAACTTCGGCATCTGCATGTTACACTTATGGAAGAACCTAGGTAAACCATTGCCTTGTAAAAATTGATCAGGAACATATAATATATTAAAATGTGCTGGCCAGTGGTTGTTTTTTAGTTACCCATTTGGACTGGTTGAAACTTTTACGAGTTTTACCCCCCTCTATTAAAGACTGAAATGACACCACTGATTGTAATAATAACAATATAGACCTACCACTCACAGCTCACAGATAGGTACTTGAGATAGTGATTAGCGATAGCATACCGATGGACGATGGTACTAAAAAGTTATTATAGGTATTATATACGTATAGCAATCGGTAAACAATTAAATTGTCAAGTGCGTATGGTCGAAAAACAATGAGTTCTACTTTCCCTTATTTGTATACTAACACTATTGAGGAGTCAATAGTAATTGATTAAATAATAAATATCCACTTATATTTTAAATTTTTTATAACATAGTAAACTATTAATAGTGTCATCCTCTGTAATAACCGATTTAGAAATGAAAATACTGCTGACTACCGAGGACCCGTTCTCGTTTTTATTATTAATTTATAACCTAAAAAATCTAGGAAAACAGTATTTAACAAGTCGTATAATTTCTGGCAGCTCTCTGTTATTAAGGAAATGCAGACTGATAGTTACGAAAAATTCAAAAGGGGGGGGTGTGACGACCCCGTTGCCGCCGGCCCTGCCTAGATAATAAATTACTATTACCTATCTGAGACCTAACTGGCTAACTAGTTTAATAGCCAATAGGTAGCTAAAATAATTTGGTTAGAAACTAGGATGCAGCCATAATACGTATACCTACCAAAGTGACCAAGTATATAGCCTATCTCAGCGTTCCAGGTCCATCATTGATGCGTTATATGACTTATGAATTTCAAATTTCGACGCAAAAAGATATTTTTTAGGCTACGACATGATTGAGCATAAAACAACTTTTTTGCAATACAATTGAACAAATTTGTCGGAGTAGGTATCAAAGAATTAAGAAATACAAAATTTGAAAAATTCCATTTTTGTCACATATATTCATACTAATATCGAACTAGTTTTTGGTAAAAAAAAAATCCAGAAAAGTCGATTAATTACACATAGGGGAGGGGGCCGCGAACATTTCACCAGCCCCCCAAAGTTTTTTTGTATTTGTCCTAAATTCTTAATCGCACAAATTCCACACTAATTAATGGTGAAGAAAAAACAACGATTTTGTAACTTGGGGGGCTGGTGAAATGTAAGTATGAAAAACTCTGCAACGTTGCAATTTTAAATTTTGAACTACCTATATTATACAAAAAATATATATTTTAATAATAATTATAATAATTAAAAATATGGTACGAATTAAAAAAACAACATGACTTCATAGTCAATAATAGTCAGTAGTCACATTTCATAAATCCGTTTATCGAACACTGATATTATTTCTATAATAATTTTGGAATTGTATCTTAATTAATCTTAAATTTTCCCCCAATGCTAAATGTTTAAAACTTCGCGGTAAAAGTATATAATATTAATGATAAACTAACATTTATTGCTCCGGAACTAATTTATTAATCGATAACATTGCCAATAAAGCTGGGCTCATCTCACGGCTCTACTCGTTTAAGTTTGGTATAATAATCATAGACCTTAATAGGGAGCATATAAGATGTTGGAAAATAATTTCAATATAATCACTATAATAGAGTATATTATATGGACGTAGTTCCATAGTCAGACGTGTTTCAGTCAGACGTGACTGCGCTGTTCGGTCGTTGCCGAATTAGACATATTGTGCACTAGATGATATAATAAACTGTGTTTAACTGTGTATAATATAGGTAACTATAGTATAAGGTCTATGGTAATAATAAGTGAAATTAATAAATTACAACATTTCGGCAACGTGAATGTGGCTAAATTATTCTATGCTCAATATCGTGTTGCTAAAAAGGTATATACTCAATCGTGCTTTACCGATTTCTTAGAACTTTTTTTTAACTAATTATAATAGATCAATATTTTTATTGTTTTGTTAATATTATATTATAAGAATGTAGCATTGTAGCTTATGAATTGTGTACCACTTCAAGTCACAATACGAGTAATGACGAAGTTTATTTTAATCACACAATCTATAATACTCGTAATACAATATTAAAAGATATACCGTCTATACCTCTACTCGCTAGTAAAAAATATATGTCTTATAATATTTGATATTTGTATTTTCCAGTGGATTTGTGTGATACTTCTGATAAAATGCCTTATGCTGTTAAATCCATTTTACGGTAAGTAGTGCACAGTTTTCCATTTGTCACATTATCATTGTACCTACCTACTCATTTCCGGAACAAACGCTTTCATTTTCCATCTGTTTGAAGTACTCAAGTGCTTATAAATTGTATTATTAAATTATGACTGGTACCTACGATATAAATAGATACTAAGTACATACAAAATATATGGAATTCAACATTTCATCTATTTCTATTACATTAAATTAACACTACACTTTTCATTACCTAGTCATTGCTAATAATTAAAAATTAAAATAATAGATAGGTAATATTATAATTTACAGTCATGTATACATATTAGATATATAACATACATCTGAGGTACATACTTGCAGGATAGTTGATGATTCATATAAACGCTTCATTATTCTCTGTATAGTAATTATTGCATTTTCTTTCCAGACCACATGTATCATTTACACCGTATTAAATACAAAATATGTTCTAAAAAGTACCCACTTATCTTAAAAATACAACTTTCAATAAAAATAAATTATTTACACATAAAAGTAAAATAGGTACGTTTGTGACGACTGTTAAACATTAGGTACAAATTAAATATTAATATACAAAAAAAAGTTTTGAGATTTTATTATATTGTACCTAAGATTAATATAGTAAATATTTTGAAAAATATGGAAGTAGGTTCCTACCTAAATATAAATAAATTTTCCATATAGTTCTATAGAAATTAAACACCAAGCAATATTATATTAACAAATTTCTTTTTTTCAGAAGACTATTACTATTACAATTCACGCACAGAACAAATAATATACGATTTTATCATATTCAGTTATTTGTTTCTAATATCTGTGTTCCTTAACGTAAATTATTACCTGAAAGAATCAACATACGACGTAAGTACCTACATACAATATAATACTATAATTATAGGAACCTAAGCCTAACTAATATTATGTATATCCAGTGCAGTGTCGGACTGGCTCGGAAAGGCCCAGTCCACGATTTGGAATAAAGGGCCCCCAACATTCAAATGGCAAATGTTTTGATCAGCCAAAAAAAAAAACTCGCTTCGCTCGCAATCCACTTTTCATGTACGTAGTCACATAGAGCATTTTTTTTTCAATACAATTGCCATCTTTTGTATTTATCATACAGCCATATAGGCACAAATAACTAAATACGTACCTAACTGACATTCAATCACTCGATAATTAACTGGTTTTACTATATTTTCAATATAGAAGTTATATTGAGCATATTCTCAAATGCTAAGACATTTTCTGCAGGTCCTTAGTAAATTGGTGACAAGAGACGAGGCCCATCGGACTGTTTTTATTATGAGACAGGGGAAATCCATAATATCCAACCCTCCAAATTACCCCACTGGGGCGTAGCCCCTATACTGGCTATATGCCTATATTACGTTCTGTGACATCAAACATTTTAAAGAAAAACCACGATTCAAATTGTGTCAAATTGTGCACGACTACAATACTTATCCAAAATATAATAATTCAGTTAAAATCAGTTATAATGCGAAATAATACCAAGTCATACGCATACGCCCGTATAAATATTATAATATATAAGACAAAACGCATTATGCAGAATTATTTTTTCTATGTTTTTAAGTAATCTTAGAGTAAAATCACCTATTAAAAAGATAGATAATAATATTTTTGAGGGAATGACATATCGATTTGTCTAAATATTGTCTCAAAACAATTTAAACATAATTTAAATTTACAACATTTTTTTGTTTATTTTGAAAGTCGAATACAAAGTAAAATAATAATAAAATACAAAATCGATATATCATTCCCTCAAAAATAGTATTCTCTATCTTTTTTGTAATGGGCGATTTTACTCTAAGATTACTTAAAAACATAGAAAAAATGATTTTGAGTTTTGTCTATGTTGCGCGTGGTCCAGAGAGAGAAAACAAATAGTGCACTGACATCCTCTTAATAGTCGCAACAATTTTACACTATTTAAAATCAATGATACATATTTGTATATAGACACTAGATAGCTATTAAATTCGTAAAATACACAAAAAAAGTTTGTTTCGTACTTCTATTTACTCTAAAAGTCTAAACAAATAACAATAATATTAATAGGTACAAAATCAGGGGCCCGAATCACCATAATTAAGCCAGGGCCCCGTCCGCAATTGCGGATGACTAGCGAGTAGCGGTCCGGGCCAGTTCGACTCTGATCCAGTGTTAATTCGTTTAAACTTACACTCAAATGTAGGCGAGTAGGTAGGTACTTGGAAGATTATAATAGTCACATCACTTGGTTTTAATTTTTGCATCATTTTTATTTTTATTTTCTATGAGATAATTTAAAATTGTTAATTATACAATACATTATTCAATATTCAGCATATTGTTTATTTCTTTCCTACGATCGAATTAATATTACAAATTGTATAATATTGTATTAACTATTGACATTTTATTAATAATTGTTTTAGCACAAAGTCCATCAAATATATCAGTGGTTAGCGGTCAACACGATATTTCTGTCGTTTCATATACTGGCTATTACTTATATCACGATCAAGAATAACTATCCTGTCATACTTTATTATTATTCAGTACCTATATGCTGTAAGTATATTATAATAATATTAAGAACTTTATATGACGTATATCATATCACATGTCTCCACGCTATAATAGAAATGCTCAAATGCACCACATTTAGTTTTATTGAAGTAAAATTCTTTCTTGAGGTGTATGTGGAAAAAAAATCGTAACGAAAAATGAAACGACACGTTTGTTTATTTATTTATTTTGCAAGTCATGGACGGCGGCGGCGGCGGCATGCACGTTTATTTTTATTGTATTGATTTTTTTCATTCCCTTCCTAATTCACTTATTATTTCACGAACCCCAATACTTATGAAAGAAGTTTTACTTACCCAGGGTCCAGAGTGTAATGATTGGCTCACACACTCTCGTTTTTTTTATTAGATAAAATCGATATCAAGTAAATAAAACAAAACAATTTCCACAACATTTTATTGATTAAATATAAAATTAATTAAAAAAATATATTACCTACACGTTTACTCAAAATAGGTTTGGATAGAAAATACTTCAATATGGCCAAGAAGCAATAATAACTAATAAGACTATAGGTAATAATAATTATGCAGTACATACTATTACAATAAGATCAATAAGATCCAATGTGTTTAGTAATAATTTATCTTGAGTACAGAGCGTAATGTTTTAACTAACTTTTCTATAACTGAGTCAAAATGGATGAAAAACATAGCTCGGCCTTTAAACTACTCTAACATAATTTTTCTAAGAATTTCCTTTTTTTCTCTCTGATTTTCTCAGCACCACCCTTTCTTTTTGTTTCCATTTTAAACAATCAATAGTGAAATAAATATTATAAAATCATCAAACAACACACAACAATAAAATAAAAAAAACAAGTAAAAAAGTTCACTTTTATGAATCAGGAACGTTACTACATCGAACGTACGAAAATTGCTGTACCTATACTCTATATAGTTATCAGCCTATTAACCCAACAATAATATTATATTTTTTATTGTGTATACAGTGTGCAATATATTAGGTAATATTCAGTAAATACTCGCTGGACACTGGCTAGACCTGGTATAGATATTAATCAATTGATATAATAAACGTCAGAATAAGTTATAAATAGTGCGTATGGATTTAATTGTAATACAAAACACGAAAAATGCTTTCAAAAAATACGATTTAGTACAGTAATATTCAAAGCCAATTTAAATTAATATAAAATTAAAAATATAATACAATTTAGATATGTACTTATATTCGTTATATTTTGTATTTCATAATAGTATTGGTCAATTAGATGCTATTTAATATTTTCAAATAAAAACTTATACAGTTATTGGCACGTGTTGTTTTGTATAGGTAATTGAAGTCGGAGCTAACATAATACTTAATACAAATAGAAAGATTAGAAAAAGGTCGTCGGTTAAAACAGGAAAAAAAAAAAAAAAAAAAAAAAAAAGAAAGAAAGATTAGAAAAAAAAATTACTTATTTAATTATATTTAATTTTATTTTGAAAGGAATTTAAGCTGTTTTTATAATTTTATAAAGTTTACGGAAAATGCTTGAAACCATAAAAATGTACTAAATACGCCCTAAAATTCTAAATAAAACTTTCTTTTTTCAATTCGTTAATGTATGAAACGAATTTTTATACATCAAGATACGATTTTTATGTTTTAGAAAATTCAGAAAAAAATTAATTTATATTTAAATCTGCACCCCAATTATAAATAATAATTTCTGATGATGCATCGGCTGAAGGCTGCAGAAGGGGACAATCATCCAAACCGAAACCTAAAATCTTAAACACCTAATACCTATAAATAATTTTTCGACCTCACCCGTTATGATACGAAAATGCAAAATATTTATAATTTATATTTATACTGGTTTTATTATAAATATGTATATAATAATAATAACAAATTATACATAATCACCTGTTTAAATCCATACAGTCATCCATCTGTGCCAGATCTACGTGGTGAAAAGTTTTTATGACGACGAACTTCTCAAAACGCGGCTGCCGTTGCCCACTTTATCATCGGCTGTCACGGGCCAAAGCCAGGGAGCTGTCGTAAATCAAAATTTGTCCCAAAATTCCGTAAATGTTTCGCTCAGCGGGCCACCGGCACCAAACCCGGTTTATCCAGTCCAAAGCGCACCACCACTACAACTGCAGGAACAACAGGAACCCCGATGGCAACCCAGCAGCAATGGTGCAGTGCTTCCGGTTCCGGTGGCGTCCCTTGTTTACCCTCAACTGCACCACGGTCACCCCAACGGACAAAATGGCGCTGAACCGCACTATCAGGTAGTACCTACACGAAATAACTAAATATCGATGGAAATCATTGTTATAATATATTATTATTATATAGGTCAACCTATACAATATACACATAATTTGTTATTATTAAAGTTTTTTTTAATTTCCGAATAAAATTTGACCATCTCAGAATTCTGGTGTACCTATACCTAGGTACAAAATATTATATGTGCGCATGTCCTATACATTTACATGTTTAAGGGAAATGTATAAAATACATTTTGTATTTCGATTTGATGATTGAAGACGGTTCAATAATATACAAATAATACCTATAAATTATATTAGGTTAGGTTAGAATTAAATTTCGTGTGACAAAGAAAAGTTGATGTCTTATCATTCTAATCCCTTAAATAAAGATTTATTTACCACAAATAATAATTTATTTACCTTAATTTATTTAAATCAATAATATAAGTATACCATTTGGTTGTATTTTATATTTTGATCAATAAAATACAATGAGTATATTTTGCTGTATTTAGTTGAAAAAACCATAATTTTTGCATATACCTATTATAGCTGTAGCACTTATTTTAGATTCAGAGAGGAGCGATGAATGTATTGATTTTAAAATAATGTTTTCAATGATGTCTGTCATTACCATTTAGGACAGTAAAAATGCTTAGATTTTTCCGCCGTATCTTCTCCGAAGAAAGCGAGTCTAGTTGGTACTTTGGGGGTCAAAAGTAAAAATTCCCATTTCGAAAACGCAGGGAAAAAGTAAAGAAAAATTAAGGAATAACGGGAATTTTTACGTTTTAATTTTCAGTTTCCATTGTTTTAGTTTTTTTTTCTAAATATGGATAGGATTGTATATGATTAATATAGGATTATTGCAATGATTGAAAGTTACAATTGAATTTAAATTTCACAAAAAAACTTATTCTGCCATGCCTTAATGTTTTATTATTTTAAATTTTAGACTTCAGTGTCACTGCAGCCTGGACCCTCTTCTGTAGAGGTACAGCACCCTCAAGAATATTATAACCCTCCAGCGTATTCACCACCTTACGAACAGCAAGCAGAAATTCACTCCGTGAGAAAGATTTAGATGGTCCAATATGTATCATGTATGAAATAATATGTTTTACGTATTCGATGATAAATACTTTTCCAATTTCACATAATATTATACAACGACATCGAGTAATATCATATTATTATGTGTAATGTGTTCATTTGAAAATACGAATCATTTTGAGACTGTACCGTTTATTTGTTTTTTGTAATATTATATTGTACACACTATATTAATCAATACAATATAAATTATAATTACTTATATAAATGTTGGTTTGAATAACACATCTCGAATATTTACTGTTGAATAATAGGAACACCATTTTTGTACCTACCTAAATGTTTTTATTATGCAGTAAGAATATACCTTATTCCTACATTCAATATAGGTACAACAAATGGGCGCATGTAAACTCCGATAGTGACAAAAATTAGGTAAAATTGAGTTCATGTACTTAGGTAATGATGTAAACTCCGCCAGTGAGGAAAGTCAAGTAACTGAAACAGTATACCCTATACAAATATACAGAATATTATTAAACAAAAAATCTTAAATTTATAATAATAATCATCCTTATTAAATAAGTACCTTTATGCCAAAAAATATAAGAAACTTAAAAATAAAAATAATAACTGTTCGAACAAATCATACAAATAAATTGCAATGGCCAGTATTATGTTAAAATATAATGATGGCCAATATTGTAGTAACTAATAATCAAAAAATATGTAGGTATATTATACTATTATGACATTATATGTTTATAACTAGGGCTCGAATTTATATAACAACCAAATACTAAAGTATGTATTTATACAACAAAAATATGTAAATAAATATGTGCTAAAGAATTCAAAATATGTATTATCAAAAAAACAAAAAAAATTATCAATTGCTTTGGATTTTTTACAAGCAGTACAATACAAAATGTGACAGTCATTTTGCAAATGTTAATTTGGATATCCAGAAACATATTTTATTTCTTTGCAAGTTTTAGATGATCGTACTTTTGTCTTTTGACATCATTGGTAATATACACGTAAAATATAACAAACAATGAGGTCACGAAAAACACACTACGATGTCACATTAAAAACTATACACTCATTGCAGTGTTCGCTCGTTCGGGTTTAAAAATGTGTTAATCGTAATACACCACGATAAGATATCTGATATTTCAATCGATGAAATCATATCTAGAAATAATTGAAAGTTTAACAGGTTGAGTGCCACGGTCGTTTGTTATCGAAGAACCCGTCAAAAATACGTCCGGTGGACCCCGCTGACTACACAATATTATACTACACAGGTCGTGAACTATTAAGTATTGGCTAATGGCTTACTCATAATAACCTTTCAATCATTCTGAACTCTGAAGAAAATACTTTAAAATAGTAAAATTGTCTAAATATGTGAGAAAAAATTGAATAATTGTGAAATATGTAAAAACATGTATTTATGACAAAATATGTAAAAATATGTACCTAATATCAATTGTAGCTCATTTTATCAAACATCTAGTGAAACAAATTTATCACTTGCCGAAATGAATTTATCATGTCGAAGAGAAAATATGTATTTACATAGAAATCTGAGCCCTAGTTATAACTTATAATATTTTGAACTGTGAACTAAAATTAGGAGATACAATTTGTCCACAACAATTGTTGCACATAATATCTCCAGGCCACAAAATGGTCATTGATTTATTGAAAACTTTACAAATAGTATTATGATTTGTTTTTTCTAACTCTTCTGAGTGCAGTAGAAATGAATGACCAACACAATCTGGCTTAAGAATTCCGACAAGAACATTTGCCACACAACGTCCTTGTACATCACATGTTTCATCATCTGAAACCCAAATTTGATTGTTTCCAATTATATATATATATATATATATACTAGCTGACCCTGTGCATTTCGTTGACCTTAAAAAATGATAACCCTTTAAAAAATTGTGGTTGTTCAAATCCTTTTGGATGTAACTCGCAGCAGTAAGTGCAATTCAGCCACCCTGGTAGGCAATCCGACCACGTCGGATTGCGGACATTGTGCGACACCATATCAAGTAGATATGTATGTCTAATATTATATAAAAATGAAGTGCCACAGTGTTTGTTATTGAACTCCTCCGAAACGGCTTGACCGAAACTAAATACTGTTCTAATTATTAATAGGTGTATAAATCTCTAATGAAATGGATCAAGTATGATGAAGAAAATCGGAATAAACATTTACCAGACTTAATGGAATACTTTCGGTTACCAATTGTTTCCCATGAATTTTTTGAGTATACCTATTGTTGATAAAGAACCACTTTTAAAGTTAAATAACAATTGTAATTATATAATATTTTATATACCTATTTTATTTTCTTATTTTTTCAAAATATATTATGTTGGTAAGTAGAAAATATTTAGATAAAGCTTATGCTGTTCATACAGTCCTTGGTACTGAGTTAGAAGCACCATATTTTACTTGGTGCAGTATGTTTTAATTATGAGCAAAAGAGCCAAACACCTTCTTCCTCTTTTGTTACTTTAACATAATCACAAATCAGTGGAAAACTATACCAATAATAAATTATACCACTAAATAGTTAATATGGTGTAACTTATTTACTCGATGATGGTTTGAGTTAAAAATATGACAGGACTTAGGAAAATATTGAAAATTATTCTTAATACCACCAAGATCAAATATGCGACCATCACGACCTACTGAATATGCATATATAATGTCATAAAAATCGGTCAAGCCGTTTGAGGAGTATGGTAACTAACATTGTGACACTAGAATTTTATATATATAGGTATTAGATTAGATTATAGTTATTAGATATATCATATATACCTCTAGTATGATCTGTAATAAGGCACCAGGAGATTTCTACATTTTTAAATCAAAGAATACAAAATAATAAGTTACAAATTGTTTTTATTGGTCAATACAAAACTTAAATATAAAACATAGTCAATTAACTATTTTACAAGTATTTACCGATCAGTTAATTAAAACTAAAATTCACATTTTAAATCAATACTTTGAATAAATGCAAAGACAAAAGAAACTATAAAAATGACAAATACCCAAAATGGTTATCACATTTATATTATAATATTGAAATAGCAAATTATAATACATACCTACAAGACACGGAATTATGTAGATAAATATTATTTTTATTTGTACTGATGTAAGTACCTACTATTTACATATCTTAGAATCTAGTCATCAATTGAGTCTAGTTTAGACAGGATTTCAGTTAAAAATGAATTATGATAATACGCCAAAATGTATTACAAACAATAATAAAAACAAACGCAATAATGGGAAAAACAAACGATTTGAGGTCATGAAGAACAAAGACCATTGCACAATATTTATAGACACACAAATTATTTATGCTGCATTATATTTGGGGTAGAGTTCTTACATATTGGGCGGGGCGGAGGCGTTGGCATGCTGGGTGAGGAAATTAAGATGGATAACGTTAAGCCAATGCCTGATTTCTTGCAACATTACCATCGGTGTGCTTTCCGGATCAATTGAACTGATGAGTCCGCACCTCCACAATAAGGCCAATTGCTCTCTGTCAAACAAACGAAGAACGAAATTTATTTGCCTCTTATGATCGCTGTTAGATGAGGATAATGATGAACTGAGGGAGACACTTACAAATTTCCACTGAATAGGGTAATTTTTGAGTATTTATGCAAGTATTGAGCGCAACTCGTGACAGTCCAACTGGAAGGCAGCACCACCTGGACCAGGTCCCGTAATGTAATTAATACATCTGTATATATGTATGGATTGGCGTTGATACAGTGGACCATTCTCCCTCGAAGTGTAACCTTTTCAATCTATAAAATATATTTATTATTATTTATTTATTTATTTATTTATTTATTTATTAGAAATTACAAATGTCCGTAAATCTTATGCACGATGTAATATTTAAATAATATAATATATAACATTTATTTATTAATTACAAACAGGCGTAAGTATTATACACATACATATATTATAATAATACAAAAAAAATATTGGGTACCCAGTTTTTTGTGTTAATACCTACTACCTACTCTGTATTTAATTTAAAAACAAATGTCTATTATTTATTGCTATAACTATAGTAATTCATAAAGTAATAAATATTGAAAGAAGTTAAAAAATATTGAAAGAATAACTTTATCATCAACATTGAATATAAATACTAGATTTTTTTGAATTCAGAGTTATTTCCACAATCTTGTAGTGGATATTTTCTCTATCAACCACAAAAAAGGTTGTATCTCTAGTCATCCAAAGATATAAGATATAAAATAATTTCATAAATGACTAAAATCATGATTGCCAACAAAAACAGCTGTATGTGCATTGTGCAGATACGATTTCTATCTAGAAAAATATTATTTATTGTACATTTTGACTGACCACTAATAACCATATTTTCTTAATTTGTAATTAAATTAATTTAAAATGTATTATTATTATGAAATAGGTAGGTATGTGCAAATATTATGTTATACTTAATAACATTATAGGCTACGCCAAAGAACAAACAATTAATGTTATGGCTCAGAATGTCATTCTAAAATAATACAGATAATACATCAATGTTTTTAACGAGTCATACTATCGATGTTTTTCAAACAAAAAAAAAGATCTGTGTGACCAATGTGAAAAATATATGCTGGCAAGCCCAGAAAAAAAAGAGTTTCAGAAAATTATTAAAGATAAACATTTAATAAACATAACAATTTCTAGAGACAAAAAAAATACTGATAAGAAACGATATATTAATGAACCAGAGCTGGTGTTTGATTTGAAAAAAATTCTTACTGCATCTCAAGGTGAAGAAAGTTTATTTTATTACAAATGAAAATTGTCTGTGTACAATATCACTAGGTTGTCCAGGTATACACTATACACGACGAAGGTAAAACTTGGAAACACAATTGCTACATGTGGATTGAGTCTGAGGTAAATAGAGGTTCAACTGGAATAGGGACATGTTTACTTAAATTTATGAAGTTATGACCGAAAAAGGTATTAAAGAATTTTGTTTCAACTCCGATAACTGTGGTGATCAAAACTGAAATCGGTTTATTTTTCCAATGTGGCAATATGCCGCCTTTATACTTAAAGTTAAATAATTCATAGATTTTTAGAAAAAGGTCATACTCAAAATGAGGGCTACAGTATACACAATTGCATTGAAAATTACCAATAAGGTAAAGTGATTTATGCCCTGGCACAATGGGTAATATTAGTTAGCTTTGCAAAAGTAACAGGACAACCAAACACAGTGTTTGGAGTATCTGATAGAGTTTTCAGATTTCAAACCCCTAGTCGATGATGAGAAATTGTAGGTAACTAAAAACAGCTATTTATGGTAGCAACATCAAGTGAAATAATTGTGATTTTTTTAAAAATACATTTGAACTCAAAATAAAAAACAATTTAATATTTTTTTTAAAAAACAAAGGGGAATACATCAAACCTCGCTGTAAACCTATAAGCCTATAATGGAAAACTACTTAATGAAAAACTTAAAATTGCGGAATAATTATCACTGTGCTCAATGATGGGGCTTCTACGTCAACATACCACGACTACTATAAACTGGTTAAGAGAATATCAGGGCACTATTTGTTTGCTCTCTCTAGCCTACACACAATATAGACAAAATACATTTACGCAGAATCATTTTGTTTTATATTATTGAGTAATTTTAGAGTAAAATAACCCATTGCAAAAAACGATAAAAAATAATATTTTTGAGGGTATGACATATCAATTGTCTAAATATTGTCTCAAAACAATTTAAACATAATTTTAATTTACAGTTTTTTTTTATTTTTAAAGTCGAATAAAAAGTAAAAAAATAATAAAATATTAAATCGATATGTCATACCAACCCAAAAATAGTATCCTCCATAATTTTCGTAATATGTTATTTTACTCTAAGATTAATCAGAAATCATAAAAAACAATTTTAGGTGAAAGCGTTATGTTACGCATAGGTCTGAGAGAGAAAACAAATATTGAGCTGACATCTTTTTACTTTTTACTATTTATATTTTGGCTATGTTAAGTTATAAGTTAATTTTGATTGTTGGAAAAATTAGACTTAACGTATAGTTACTATTTTTTTTTATTATTATTTTGTTTTCGGAGCAACCAGTGCAAATTTTTTTAAGTGTAGGTACAATTTTTTTATACCTAGTCACCCATAAAAAAGGTCATAAGTATAAATATAAAAAAATTTTTTAAAGGATATCCCTAAAAAAATCTTTGAAATTGTAATGTTTTATAAAAAATTTACTTAATATTATAATTGATTAACATTTCCTTAATTCTTAAAGGGATCATGTTTTTGAAAGTGAATGATGAACAATTTGTATTTAATAATATTTAATTAACATTTTGCTCATACTGAAAAGTTAGAAAAAGTGAGATAATGCCTTTTTAGTTAGGCCAGTTTAATTTACAGAAAAACTACACTTATAATTAAAATCTGTTGAGACAAACTAATATCTCTTAATATACACAGTTACATATAAAAACAAAAATCAATGTAAAAATTAGTCAATAATATCATAAAATTATTAATTAAATCATATTTAAGCATATGTTTAACCCATATTAGCATATTATGTTTATTTAACGCTACCTACACAAAATTGGCTGAAATCGATGGTTAAGCTATTATTGCAAATAAATATTTAAGCTAAATGTAAAATTATAAAATGTAAAAAAAAAAGTTATCAAGGTTTTAAATTTTATACAGGTTTGAAAAATAATATAATTTTATTATAGGCCCCAATAACTTTATTTAATCTTAAAATATTAAAAATTAATGAAAGGATGTTTACATCTGCACGAGTTTTCTGTCTTACAAAAGCATAATATGGCAAACTATTTTAGGGGATTCGAATATTTTTTATTTTTTTCTAACACATGCGCAACATACTATTTTAGACGTGTTTTTTTGCCAAACATACCAATTGATCTAATGAAGCCATAAGAATTCTAAAAACAAATTTAAATTTGTCGTCAAGTCTACTTGAAATCGACTTTCCCACATTTTTGAATTTTTGATTTTAACTTCTTCATAAATTGAAATACAACAATTTTTAAATACTCTTTTTAATATGACATTTTTAGGAATTTGGGGGATAATATAAAAAATGTGTGAAAGTCAATTTAAAGTAGATTTGAAGACAAATTTAAATCTGTTTTCAGAATTCTTAGATGAATTGGTATGTTTGGCAAAAAACACGTCTAAAATACTATATCACGCATGTGTTAGACAAAAACAGAAAATCAGGGTATCGAATCACCTTAAGAGGGCTTCATAACCTATGGCATACCAAATTTTTGTTCACCTGTTACAATAATGTGCTGTTAGTTTTGATATTAGAGTGAATTGACCTATTATAAAATTTAAATGTAAGATTTTTATCTAGCCCCACATAGGCTTTTATTGATATAATTATTTTTTGTGAGGGTCTAGATAATAATATTACCTTTAAATTGTTTAATAGTTAAATTCCCTCTATTTCACTCTATTATCTTACTATCAAAACTAACAGCATACAATTGAAACTGGAGAACAAAACTGTGCTATGTCTTATGTGTGTAAGACAAAGACAACCCATATGGGTACGACGTACACTTAACTCTGTTATAATTAATTTAACACGTTGACTGCGTATGTCTTTTTGCAGTTTTCCCTCAGTGCGTATGATAAAAGTAAAAAAAAAAATAAAGAAACTGCTCATTACGACGTATATACATATTTAAAAATATATGTGTTTAATTCACGCTAAACAATAATAAAATAACATTCAGCCACGCGTAAGGAATATTAAACCATTTATTTTAAATGTATATTAGACTCCAAATGGTGTCAAACACGTTGCTGAATGATCCTCATGACGCCAAATGGGGTCAGTACGCATTAAATGTGTTAAGAGCAAATTAATCTATTATCAAAAATTGTAAATTTGTTTCTTACCACATCTTTAAATACTTATAACTTGCTTTAAAATTAAAATATAAAAAAAACCCATGAGATTCACTAGATAATATTCTTCTTCAAAAAATTTAAAATAGGTCAATTCGCCCCAATATTAAACATAACAGAGTTAAATTGATTATTCTGAACACACAATTTGCCATGTTATGTGTTTGTAAGGTACAGAAAACGCAAGCGGGTGTAGCGTCTTTTTAACCTTGTATGCAGGGATATCTGTGCCATTTGTCCATGTCCGTTCAGGTATTCTAGTCAATCCCAATCCAATACGTGGGTGAAGAGAAGTGTCTTGTAAAGTTGGGAGTATACGGTTACATGGTTGTGATATTAAGCCATTGCTTTCAGTGGTCGAAGTAGCTACAATGGGCACTACATTCCTTGAGGCATTATGCAGTTGAGTGTTAGTTAGATGACCATGCACATATTGGCTACTATATGACGACTGCGTTTGTGGAGTAGAAATTATTAATTGTTGTTGTTGATGCTGTTGCTGTGGTATCCGTTGTTGATGGGATGGACTATTATTAGTAGCACTCTGACTGTATAATTGTTGCATTTGGTTTGAGTGTGACATCACATTGCTATTGGTCATTGAATTGTTCATAGTTGTCATACATAAGCTAAGAGGTGCAGCGTTGGTGTTAATAGCATTTTGGCTGTATACTTGTTGCATTTGATTCGAGTGTGACATCACATTGCTATTGGTCGTTGAATTGTTCATAGTTGTCATACAAAAGCTAAGAGGTATAGCATTGGTGTTAATAGCATTTTGGCTGTATACTTGTTGCATTTGATTCGAGTGTGACATCATATTGCTATTGGTCGTTGAATTGTTCATAGTTGTCATACATAAGCTAAGAGGTATAGCATTGGTGTTAATAGAATTTTGGCTGTATACTTGTTGCATTTGATTTGAGTGTGACATCACATTGCTATTGGTCATTGAATTGTTCATAGTTGTCATACATAAGCTAAGAGGTACAGCGTTGTTGTTAATAGCATTTTGGCTGTATGCTTGTTGCATTTGATTCGAGTGTGACATCATATTGCTATTGGTCGTTGAATTGTTCGTAGTTGTCATACATACGCTAAGAGGTACAGCGTTGGAGTATGAGACCGTATCACTAAAAGTAAGCAATAATTATTATTTTTCTGTATTGAGATATTTACAAAATATTAGATTATTTGTATTGTTTTGATAATTGATTAAATTTACCCGATTACTGGTGTCGTATTGACTGATTCAAGTAGAGGCGGTGGAGGTACAATATTTCTCGCACCGATTATCAAACTACTGCCTTGTAACAATGTTGAACCCTGAAAAATCAATGAATATTAAATGTAAAAAAACGGTTGATTTACTTAAATATATATATTATATATAATATACTATATAGCCAAAATGTAATAGGTATTAATAGTTGGAAAATAAAACACATAATTGAATCCAAACTCTTTGAAATATTATCAGTCATAAAGCAAAACTAGGTATAGGTATTTAATATATTTATTATACTTAAAATTAACATTAATAAAACATAAAATTATGTCAAAATTAGAACTTTAAATGTTTATAAAAAAAATTGTGGCTATGGATTTTTAATATTTTTCAAACATCATTGTAACAATATATCAAGAGCCTTGTATAACATTTTCAAGTTTTTTTACAAAACAAATACAATTTTATTGACATTCATGGAAAAACAAACAAAAAAAATTGAAAACTGAAAATGTCCGTAAACAGTTCAAATCAATATTTTTCAACATTTTATAGTGTATTGAAAATGATAATATAAACAAACGGTGAAAATGTCATGTATCTACGGTATTTGTTTTAGAGTTATACCAAAAACCAAAATCGATATTGTCAAAAACCGATTTTGCGTAAAAATTCCTGTTTTTCCTTAATTTTTTTTGTATTTCCCTGCGCTTTCAAAAACTATTAGGAATTTTTTACTTTTTACCCACTAATGTACTAATTAGATTTACTTTCATATCAGAAAAGATACTGTTGAAGAAAATCTAATCATTTTTACTGTCCTAAAAGGTGATGACAGACACAACAAAAAAAAAACACACATCATTGTAAAATCAATTCATTCATCACTCCGCTCGGAATCTAAAAAATTATTTGTTTATTGAGATCATAGGATGACATATTATTATAGAGATAAAAATTGGTTTATTGAAAAACATATCGACACCACCACTGACCCATTTTTTTTTTTGGGGGGGGAGGGATATTATCTACACAATATCTCGCAATGTTTAAATTTTATAATTTTTCACAACAAATTCTAAACGACACAAATTTTTATTTATTTACATTTAATTCCCTATTTAATCCACTATTTCGTTACAGTGGAAAAAACATAGTGTACAACACAGGTCAATTACGGTGATTGGTGGGGAGGGATTCTCCCTTGCCATCCCTGGATCCACCAATGTGGAGTATAATTAAAATAAACAAATAAAAGCAAAATTGTACCTATGTAAAAACTGAAGTGCCGTTAATGCTTTATTCCAATTTATATATTATTTTGTCAAGTACAAAATAGTAATATTGATATAACCTATTCATTTATACTTTATAGATTCATTATTTATTAATATTTTATAGTTACCTAATAGTTAATATTAAAAATAATATTAGGCACAAAATAAAATATGATTATTTTGATGCATTGTAAAAACACAAATTAATATTTTTTTTTAATAAACAAAAATATGGAAGTAATTTAATATCCAAAGTACATAACACATACCATTTGGTTTTCTGGCCTTCTGTTTTGATGGGAGTTTATTACTGGCATACTCATTGGTAACACTGGCACTGATTCTGTTAAGGTGTGAGGAATAGTACTATTCTCAGCAATTACTTCTTCAAGGGGTGCTCTGATCCAGACCCCTGGGGGATTGACATTGGTAGAATTCTCATTCGTCAGGAGCTGTATATCAATGATATGAGGGGGCCAATATTCCTCAAAAATTGTGTCGTTTGAATATAAATTCTTGATATCATCAAGACTGATCACCATGCAAGAATCACTGGCGAAAAACTCATCATTATTTGCACCCTGAAGTTTAAAACAGAACTTCAGATAGGCTAAGTTCCAATTTTCTAACTTAACACTTAAATGTTGTAGGTTTTCTCTTTCGGCTTCAAAGCAGAATAAAGGAATATATCTTTTGTCATTCTTAATACTATATGGTAAAACAGATTCGAAGTTAACAAGTATATAACCAAATTTTTTTTTGCGACCTGTATTATCTTTGGACAGTAATGCTTTATAACACACGTCTGTGAATGTATAAAATTCTTGAACATCTTCTAAAAGGACTATGTAATCTTTTCTTGCAAAGAAAATTGCATTCCCAAAAGCAAAATCAGTATGAAAATTGTTGATTTCATTTAATAAAGCTGCTTCTATATCAGTGATAAAATAACTTCTAACTGATAAACAAGTATACATATTTTCATGTAAATAATGTAAATATTCGTTGAGTAGCTGAGTTTCCACCATCCGTACGGATGCAAACTGTAACTTTACACCATTTATTACACGCTCGATGTATGGTATATGGTGTCCTTCGATTAATTTCCATGAAAATTTACCTACATGTTTAATATAAAATAGAACATAAAATATCATTTGTCTTTATTGGAAATTTAAACACACTAACCTTTTTTACTATATGTATCTTCACAATCTGCATGTAATTGTTCTTGATTATTTTTTTGTATATTATTAGTTTTTATAACCGAAGTTACTGCTCTATCGTCTTCGTTTGTATTAACATTATTCACTTTAAGAGCCATTTCATCGACTTTAACATAATCGTGATCATTTTGAATACCTGTAATATTGAATTATAAAATTAAATTTTAATAAGGTTAAATCATAGATAGTCCGGTCACACAGTTTATTCGATTAACTGTGATACTAAGTTTCCTATCGGATTCCGAGTGTCCGAGTGATAGCCAACGTATAATGTTTGTTGCATATAACATATACCTAGCATATTTATTTTACATTTTTACATCTTCATTTTGACGATAGCGGAGTCCGGGCTGATATTAAGAAAAAATAAACTTCAACATAGCTCTTTCATCTATCTTAAAAAAGTGATTTTATAATTTGATAATATTTTACAGTAAATTCGCTACTTCTGGTTTTCATTTATTTGATAAATTGTAAGTGAAATTACTATATTACTACCGGTAAATATTTTAATATTTTAAATAAAATGTATTATGCGCACGCAGTGCCATACCCAAAAATAAAGTTAATACAAATTAGGTACCATAAAAATTACTTTCTATTTGAATAATTGAAGTAATATATGTTATATAAATTCTTTACTTAATACTTCATGTACCTATATAAATTAATAACCTTTATTTAATTTTCCAAGTATCTAACTTTAAAGGCTATTGAGGGATATTTGAAAATTTCAATTTCTTTTTTAAAAATGTATAGAAAATGTATTCCTTTAATTATATTTATGTGGTATATTTTACTTTTATTGCATATTTATAATAAAACAAATACATATTTCATAATTTCTTATTGCATATAAATCATAACCCTAATTATAATACTCATGGTTTGATATTGAATCTTCGTAAACTATCCCTACTGATTAATGGTTTTTTGTAACCATCTTATATAGAGATGTTCACATATAATAATATAAATAATTATATATTATAATTAAATAATAATATTTATTTATCATTAAGATAATTTCGTTATTTTTAGTCATTTATCTAATTTACTATGGACAGTCACGATCGCGATAAATTTCGTTCCCATCAATCTGGGCACCAAAAAAGAATTAAAAAAACAAAAAAATTTATAAAAAACAACGAGGGTGATTGTCAGGAGTTTTTCAATTACAACAGTCTATAGTAGCAGTACTTCTAATTCTAATTGTGAATAAATATTAAATAAACAAGACCAATCTAAAACTAAAAACACAGTCAGCCGTAGAAAAAGTTTTTAATGAAAATTTAGATATTGTTTGGTCACCTATTCAAATGAAAAAAGTCAAGAGCCAATGTCGCGATTAGAATGGGGATGTAATGTATAAGATAGGAATGAGAGCCCCACATTTTCTACTTGCCCCGGTAACCGAAAAACCGTGATCCGGCACTAAGTAGGTAATGTATATAATTAAAGAAATATTTTTAAAACAATATTATGGATTTTATAGGTACAAATATTGAATTATTAAAATTACAAGATATTTTTTCTTGTTTTTTTTTTACTTTTGCTAATATTCGTCTCCCCCTAAAAATCAATAAATCATTTACCTATATATTATTTAAAAATTATCAAAATAATATGTGGCGCAAGTGTGGCGACAACCACACCTGCCTAACTGCCTAAGTAGGAACGTTGAACAGATTTCTACGTCAGAAGAAGCACGAGGTTTTGGGTGTAAATAACGACAGTACTGTTTTTGGTAAAATGTATCTGCGTGGAGATTGTTTAATTTACTTGTACAATTATGTAACGGCACGCTGTATGGCGCTACAAAGTGGTTGGTCAAAGGTACGGTCGAGCGGTCGTTCGTTGGGCGGGGCGACGGAATCGGGCGTGCAGTGTGCTCCGTGCGCGCGGGTTCGGCGAGCGTAGCGAATACGTCGAGAGACGAGTAAGTCGGAGGAACGCAATCTTGGAAAATGAGCGGTGATGACTGTCGAGTTCGGTTCACTATACGTCTGTCTATTACGTTGTTTATAATACAGATACCGCGTTGTGCGGACATTCCAGAATATCCTATCGGCGCAAAAATATTTTTTTTTTTGATAAATGTGGCGCAAAACTTTCCAGGGCGGGTTGGTGGCCATCCCTAGTCTATACCTACCAGGTTCGAAGTCGTCGGTCGGGAAAAATGGTATGGGACGAAAACCTAGGTCGGGCGGAGACATGTGGCTCGGTCGAAGGTCGAACGCTGTGAGCAATTATAGATAAAAAAAAACGATGGGCGACGGTCGATCGATGCATCGTTCCCGTCGTGGTATAAGTCGTTGGCGCCGAGGGTGGGGACGCGAGATCATTCAGTATAAAATCACAGAAGTCGTATACAGTGTAATTCACTAAACGAATACAATATTATAATATCAATTAACGAATATAATACAAATATATTGTTACTGACCTTACTGTTGCGAACAGTAACTATTTTGGCAGCCGGAGCCAAGTGGCTATAAGGCACCGTATCACTATCATGACGTGTTATTAGAACAATCCAGAAATAAAAGGTTTTAAAATAGTATTAACACCAAAAGGTTCTATAGCATAATAAAATTAATAATTGATAAACAAAAAGTACTACCTCTTATTCATTGTATCAACCGTAAAATAATAATAGGATGGTACAATATTGTTAATAATTATTGCACATTTTTCAATAAAACAAAGATTTCTATAAACAACATTCGGAAATTATAAATTAAGTAGAGACTAGGCATGTACTCAGAACAAATTTTATGGAGGGATTATGGAGTCATGAAAATCAAAATCAAAACCATATATATATAAATTTAATGTTTAACCGTTCAAATAAATAATTAGTTGTAAGTTTACATAATCTGAAAACATTTCAAGTTGACATTCTGAAAAAATGTGTAATTTACCACTGCTTATTGGTCTAAAACGTATGAAAAATATGTACGCGCAGCCCCCTTAATACGAAAAATTCAAAATTATTTCAAGCAATTATATATAAATAGTAAATAATTGTAGTTTTTGTGTATTTAATTTGGGAATTTGTAAATCATTAGAAAACTTAGAAATCAAAAAACAAAAGTTTTAAGCTTTTTAAGTTTAAGGTTTTTACTTTTATGAGTTTCTTACGTTTTTTACGATCCAAACTAAAACTAAAAAGTAGCAAATAATTAGCAAATATTAACAAATGTATTGCAGAAGTTAGCAAATCATTTTTGTATAAGTTATATTGTTTTTTTTTTAGATGGGCTAAGTTCAAGTTACCCACCCACCTTGCCTGATCGTTCCAGAACAAGCACCAGTAGTAAGCAAATAGTTAATAAATAATAGATTCTATTTTTTGAAGTTAGCAAACAAAATTCTATTTCTGGTTAATTTTTTTTATTCAAAAATTTCAAATGGTCAGATGTTCGAAATTTGAAAGTGGGCATTGAAATGGACCTAATAATTATGTGTAAATATGTGATCATAATTTATTAAAATGTTTAACATATTTCTATCAATTGTATTTCTAATATTTGTATATTCAATTTAGGCGATATTATTTTAAGTACCTATGTAATTAATTCTTAAAAATAATTTATATTTAAATACATTTAATGATCCCGTCACATTATACCCTTTAGCTTTTTTTCTTAGAGTGAGGATTTTTTTATAATTTTTTTCTTTACTACCACCTAAATCAAATTACATATAATATACTATCATATATTAAGTCGGTCATTTTCTGTCTTTGTCTAACACACGCGCAACATAAGATTATAGAAGTGTTCTATTGACAACGAGAGGGAATGAAATAAAAGAGGAATGCGATATGTGTTGTGGAATTTAGCCGTTTAGGTAATTCTACTATAAATACAGAATGAGCATAGTTGTCCTGCGCATAACAGTTTATGTTGTACATTTGTAAGACGGAGACAACGCTGCAGGACGTGTAACGTCCTCTTAATGTTATTTTGATAAAATAATTGTTGTTTTTTAATGAAAAACATAATTTTAGAAATATTTAAAAATTATAAGTATTTTAATATGACACTAGTGTGCCATTGTGCCGCAAAAGGTAAGCGTGCAACAGGTTGTCCACCCCGGGTATAGAATGTAGTCGGTGATAGTGAGGGTATAACACGAGGTTAATGTCGAGAAGGTTTGCTGTCGTATCCAGTATACACTTCAAAAACGTTTATTATTTCCTCAGCGTTGCCTCCATTCATATGTCAAACATAATAAAACAAATACGTTACGTTATAATCGTTGGGTTAAAAATCATTACTTTCGTTTTTTGGAATGCTGATGTTAGAAGCCATTTTTGAAGTGTCCAACGCTGGACTAGATTGAAGAAGTCGGTGACGACAAGTACGCTATTCGACAAAAATATAATGCCACTGCAGTGCCGTAAAAAATACTGCGAAAAAACGGCTGCGATGCCGACTGTAAAAATAATATTTTTTATGTCGATAACTATTTTACGAACGGCCTACAAGTGCAGTGCTATCGACTGGGGCAGTAACCAGTTCGGGAACAACGGGAATCGTGGAGCGATGTGAATGTATTGTATATGACAAGCTAAGGCAGACGGTGTCGACGACTGACGGACGAATCACGAATGAAATGAACTCAAACGCGGTGGTCGTTGTCTGAAAACTTGTTGGCGGCGCCGGTTTGTAACACACTGGCATGGGAGGGAGTAGAATATTAGACGATCGGTGTATGACTATGCTTTAGTGTGTGTGCGTGAGTGCGAGTAAACGAGAATTGTGTGGGCGTGTTGAATACCACGACGACGACGCCGCCGCCTCGATTCCCGGTAAGGGATGAGACATAATACTGAGGTTATAACACATGGTAAAAATGAGTGAGCCCCACACGTCGAAAACGTTAGATAAAAACCCGTATAATATGTATTCAAAAACTACTGAACCATTTTCAATAAAGTTATAATAACAATAGTCACAGTGGTGTTTTGGAGGGTATACGCGGGTATACGACGTATACCCCATCACCAGTTAACTGATTTAGCGTATACCCTGTAAAATTACTAGAGATACGCAAGTATACGCGCGTATACCCACGTATACCTTCAAAATTAATCAAAAACTTAAGTAAAATAAAATAGTAATTGCTTCCAAAAAAATATTTTTATCTTTATATTCAACGATGGAAAATTATCAAATTTTTTTAATGATAATCGACTAATAACCATCATATCAATATCAAACAATAATTCATATATTTACAATTACAATCACGGCTATGTATACAATTATTTAAAGCTATCAACGTTATGGACACAGTCCACAGATATTTTTATAATATTATCTGTAGTTATGGTTGACTTGAGGGACTGCCGATTATAAGAATGATATTGTATTTATTGTATCGACAGCGGCTTCAAAAACAAAACAGTTATTCACGGTAAACGGACGTTTCGCCCCCGCCGTTTCGTCCCCGTCAAAAAAACCAGTACACGGACGATTCGTCCCCGGCAATTATTGAGATAGGACGTTTCGTCCCTAAGAGTTATTAGCCATAGGACGTTTGGTCCCCGGTATACTTTGATAATCTAAATACATTAATTTTTAATGAACAATTTAATCTTTAAATGACAATACTACAAAATATACAAATACATAATCAATATTCATACAATACAATTTCAAATAGTCAAGATTTATATACATCACAATATTGTATTAAGTCAACACAAATTGTAGTAAAAATTAATAAATTAAAATTAATACTATAATATTAAGATAAATTATATATTTATTTTTAGGTAACTGACATATGTTTTTTAAATAGTATAAAATATAAATTGTAATTATCGTCATTATATTGAAATCCCGTACAATATAATATTATTATGATTGTAATTTCTTTTCCTTAAAACTAACTATTTTCGGTACATTTATTATTTCATTTTGTTTTTGTACCAATGCAGTCGTTGCAGACGCATTGCACATCTGTATTGAATACTCTCGGTATCAAATACTCTTAAAATAAAGTAGTTAAATAAACATATAATATTACATTGTTATAATGTTAAAGTAAAACCACGACGGCATGGTATTTTTATTTAACAAGAATAATTATAAGTAGAAACAAATTAAGAATTAAAAGAAAAAAAAATGTATTCAATAAAATAATACTCAATATGGAAAAAAGTATTTGAATACTTTTACTCAAATACTTTACAACACTGTATATTAGACATTACAGAATTGTTCATTAAAAATAAATGTATTAAAATAATGAACTTTGAAGTAATTAATAACCTGAGAACCGAATGTCCTAACCTAATGAAAATATGCCGGGGACCAAACGTCCTATGTCTAATAACTCTCCGGGACGAAATGTCCTATCTCAATAATTGCCGGGGACGAAACGTCCATGGACTGGTTTTTTTGACGGGGACGAAACGGCGGGGGCGAAACGTCCGTGATTCGTTATTCACAGATGCCTTATCACAATCAGTTAGATTTGGTAGAAAACAGCGACATTGATAAGGATTTGCAGATTCTATAATCAGTCAATTATTTTATATTTATGAAATTATATAATAGATTACTATTCAGAATATATTCTTAGTAAAAAATATTTTATTTAATTACCATTTGTCTTATAACAATAATCGTTAGAAAAATGTATTAGATCAATTTTTTTTTACTGCGTACAGGGCAAACAGAACGAAATTATGTAACAAAAAGTAAGTTCTAAATCAGTGCTTGGAATGAACTCGTTCAAAGGAATCCCTTCCTTTGATTTCGTTCCATTTTTAGGAACTTATCTGGAACGTAGTTCCTTTTTCATGTTTAGGAACGTACTGGAATTTCGTTCACTTTTTAGAGGAACATGTACGATTTTTTTCGTTCCTTTCTTCGTTCATTTATTTTTAAATAAAAGTAATTAAATCATTTTTAAAACTAAAAGGAAAAAAATATATAACTTCAATTAAAATTTAGTAACTAATATGAAGAGCTGTAAAAATAAACCTGTATACGATATTATTGATAATGTTTACAAAATATAAATTCTGTATTTCTGTCGCAGAGGTTTATTTATACAGCTTATTAATTATATAAGTTAAAAATATTACTAAATGTTTAAATAACAATGTGTTATGTTTAATTTAAAATTAAAACAATTATAGTATAAACAAGTACGATGTACCCAAGTTTTTTTTATTTTATTTTAAGTCATATTAAAAAGGAACGAGGAAAGGAACTAATTCCTATCTTCAAGGCAGGAACGGTAAATGATTTAGTTCCTTTTTTAAAGGAACTTTCTAAGCACTGTAACTCCATCTCATCCTGATCCTGATGCAATATGTCTAAAATCCTTTTATTAGTATATACTATATACATTGGTTTCCAAATATTTTTATAAGAAATACAATTCTTTGACACGGTTAACTTTGGGTTAGACAGCTAGAATGTATATATATTTATTAAATGTTATACATTTTTAAATATCTATAATTTTAGTAAAAATAATATCAAGGGGTTGAAACCCTCCCCGTGTGCACGCCACTGGTTATATGCATCTGATTACACATTTAAAATTGGCGACAAAAAAAACTGACTGTCCGTAACCGCTTTAGAACCACTGTGGATAAAAACTGGTCCATTTGTTCCAAGTTACTAAAATTTGCACTTTTCACAAAATTATAGTTAACTTACCTTTGAAGTATATTTTTGAATTTTTGTTGTTCGTATGTAATGTGTTGTATGAATTGAAGACAAGCGATTTTTTTATTTTGTTGTAATTCAAAAACAAGTAACGTTTAGTCACCACTTACACAATTAATTATATTTTCAAATGCAATGTTTTATTTTATACTTTAATTATGGATGAATTAAAACAATAAATATTTTTTAAACGGTATTTTCTAAATATTGTTTTGAAATGGTTTCATTAACTGTATACCTACATTATTATTTTAGGCTCACGTGTCCTACATATTTATAGTATAGTATTTATGTATACCTATACCGGTAATGGTCAAAATATCCAAGGACAAAATATCTAAATTTATCCGTTAATACGAAAATTAGTAGATTACACTTTATTTTCTAATAAAATTAGCTCAAATATCACAAAGTATACTGCATTACTGCACAAACATAAGTCAAATTTGTATTATATATTAAATAATATATTTATATTATTGTTCTATATATTAGATATATTTTTATAGTTAAATAATTTGATATTTGAGCTAATTTTATAAGAAAGTAAAATGTAAAACGAATACATTTGGATATTTTGGTTTGGACATTTTGTTCTTGGATATTCTAGACTCATATCTAAATCTATTTATTTTTTTATTATAAAATAAACCGTTCGATAAGCGTTTTAATGATACTTACTGTGTCGCATAATTATATAAGCAACAAACTGGATAAATGTGCAAGGCTTAAAATATTGTTGGTACCTAGGTTTTGATTTCGATCGTGTGATCGTACAAAGGACGTAGGACCAAAACCTTTTATTCCCATAAAAACTTCATATCACGCACAAGTTTTAAATTTAATTGCGGTTATACTATATGCAGTGAACATATTTTATAATTCAGGCCCCAATTTGGTGGGCAGAAATCAACATGTGTAAAGTGTAAATGTGTAATACGAATTGAAAAATTGTGTAGTCCTGACGCCGTATAGCAATCTAAAGATGGGTTTAAAATTCAAATGTTGCACAAAGTGTTCATAACTTCTATATGTTGTACAACATAACTTATATAAGTACCCGCCTTACAAACGATTTTACTTGTGTACAAAAAAATGTGCTTCAGTACGGTATTCATTAAAATTATATGAGACACATCGTACAATATGTACTTATTTATAATAATTCAACTGATCGTTATATTATATTATAATATAGCGAAGCGATAAAAATGTTAGGAATAAACGTAATATTATTTTGTTTATTTGATATAAGGTGGTTTTATATATACACGACTGTATACGTTATATTCTAACCATAACTATGCATGTAAAATAACATTTTAGATGAGAAAAAAAAGTTATTTGATCAAGTGGTTCATTATAATGTCCAAACTGTACAGGACGTGGTATACGTGGATCTGAAAAGATTGAGTACCACAGCACTATAATATACTAGGTAAACGTGCAGCAACATTTTCAGTAAGGTGTGACTCCCTCTGCGCAGTAATGATATAACAAGTTTATTACTACAGTGGGCATGGAAACGCCTTATAGAATAAACCGATGACTAAGAATCTTGGCGCCCGGCATGTAGACCCATTACGTCCTGTCGAGTACAATAATATAATAGGTACCTA